GTCACTGCCGCATTGCCTTCCAAGCCACAGTAAAGTGGAACTGATCCAGAGGACAAAGGATCGAGATCTGAGGAGATGCATGAACCCAGTCGACATGGCACGTGACGGTGTGTGCATATATATATATATATATATATATATATATATATATATATATATATATATATATTGCATATCGGATACAGCCGTTATGATACTAATCATCATGTAGCAGGTCCTTTGCAGAACGTCGCTCTCATCACAGTATGCCTGAAAGAAACTTGTTCTTTCGCCAGTTCTCCTGCCTCATATACTTTCATACTCAAGGAGTCACTTACATATATATATATAGAGAGCATACGTATATGCTATTTATTGTTATCTGGGCAACTGTAATCTTTATATATCTGAACTGTGTCTCAAAATGAGTTGTTGCTTCAAAAAATTCCGTCATCTAACGATCTCGTGAAGAAATGAGATGGGAAAACCTGCTGGGCAAATTGGGCATGAGGAAATAAACAGCCAGAACACAAAAATATCGGTCGCCATTTGCGTCGAACCTGTTTTACGTCAGCAGAACAGGCGGCAGAACAGGGGAATTCCCCCGGCCGTTTTCATTGAGATAGTGATCGTTGATTGGATTGCTTGGTCACGTGACGTACGAGACGGTTCTCTACGGGTTGGGGCTGGCCTGGGCTGGAGGACCTATTGCTGTAGTGTGGCCTGGAAATCCCATAGAGGCTGCATATAACCCCACTGCGTAAATCGTGTCAGTATATATAACATTTCTCCAACCAGGCTCATTTCAGTTGTTAACGATTCTTTGGACTATCTGTTGTGTTAGAAAGAGCGTTAAAAATAAATCCACACGTGAGAACTATTAATTTTTACAATTCAAGCCTGTGTAAGTACTAAGTTAATCCAGCTTTAGCAGCAATGGAAGATATCGATGTCGATTGTGCTGACTATTTCAAGTCTCCGGTCGTATCCAAGAAACACACAGCATTTGACCAGCCTGAGGATGATTCGCTGGGCTATTTTTCCGGAGAGTTGAATACTGCATCGTTAAACTTGAAGGACGACATGTCTGGCCAGACGAGGCTGATAGAAAACAGTGAACCTCGCGTTTTTTCGCTGGAAAGTTCGCTTTCAAAGTTAAACATTTCAAGTAGTTGTAAATCAGACTCTGACCAGTGCGATTCGGGTGTTGTTGTAGAAAAACCCTTCGAATCGACGGACTCAGTAACCAAACCTGAAAGTTGTCATTGGGTGTCCACGCATTTCTCTTCAGACCAGATTTTAGACATATTCAGAGGAGACGAAGATGGGGATAAGTAAGTAAAATGGCTTATTATTTATTTATTATAAGACATGCTTTAACAGTTGTTTGCAACGAACCCCCCCCCCCCCCCCCCCAAAATAATAATAATGCAAAATGTGACAGAAACAATTGCTTAGTAATAAAAAATTCTTGCATTTATTTGTTCAGTTTTGCAGTTCATATTTCATATTAATTCTAAACTCGATGAATGCCCCAAATCATTATTATTTATTAGCTGGTTTGGATGCTAATACGGTGTGCATCGAGTGAAATTACGACCTAGATGCATGCAGGGTAGTAATTCAGACTAAACTGTTAAAAATTATTACCTGATGTATTTGTGTAATATAACAACATAATATTGTCCATTTATTGCTCGTCATATTCATTTTTAACCCAAGTCTAAAGACTTATAACTAGTAGTAAAGGGAGAAATGAAATGTTAATTAAAAGGAAAATTACTGATTTACTCAGTGGTAATACTGTGAATAATTTTGAAGTAAACTTCCTGTTGCCTGACTCTGAGGCATTTCAAATTCATTGTGTTGTAAATAGAATGCAAAAGCTGTTAGGAAACATTATACTGCCTTTTCTGTCTAACCATTCTTTGTGCAAGTTATGTAAAGGTCAGCGAACCTTTCTCCTAGGCACAGCTAAATTTAGACATTTGGGAAAGTACACCGTGCTATTTTTAGCACATCCCAGTTAGGACCCCAGGCGTGACGGGGGGAGCTGGTGGGGGCCGCTCGTGGAAACTGGAGCTTCGGTTGGTGCGCACTGCGCGTTGGGGATTTCCCCGCCGCTGACCTAGTTCTCTGACATCGATTTACACGGCTTACACAGCACAGGTTCCCTAGATACGCAGTCTCATTGTCCAGCTTTACACACCTCACGCCCACTGTGTTTTACACTGGGGTCTCATTGTCCATATTTTATGCAGTTCACAACGCCTGACCCCTGTACAGACATCACACTGGAGACTCGTTGTCTACACCTTACCCATTTCTTTGCCACATAGATCATTTTAATTAAGCACAAAATTCAGCAATATTTATTTATGTTGTAGTAATGTAGTTAACGTAGTTTTAGTATCAATGTATCTTAACGATTTTTGGGGGTCTCTTAGGATAAAAACCTAAAAATACAACTTTGGGACTGAAGTATTATATAGCAATTGCAACGTAACATGTTTTCGTACAAAGAATAAGGCGTGAAAGTAAAGCAGTGGCTGCTATATAAAGAGTGTAATCAAGGAACGTCTAGTGGTTTTACTGGCACTGAAAGACATTACAATAGCCGGGTACGTTTCGTGCCAGTTTTCTTACACTGAAATCTCAATACCCATAATATTCATAACCATGATTACCTTATTCTTCTTTAGTCCTTGTGTTAGGACTACAGTGTAACCTTGATAACAGTAAAAGTTTTATACAGTCTACAATATGTGTTTTATATTACTTATAGATTTTTGGGGTAGTTTTAAAATTAGGTGTCCTGTTTTTCCTGGAAATGTAAGTGAAAAAAATAAAAGGAAATTATCAACTTCTGTTTCTACCCTTTATAAATTATTCCCCATTGGAGCAAGTAAAAATACCATCAGCTCTTTTCAAATCATCCTATTCTTCATCACTAAATGCAGTTTTTTTTTTTTTTTTTCATATGCGCTTTGTCTTCCTTTCTGTTCCCATTGTTATCCAATTTTAGATGCTAAAGTAAAGATTGGAATGAAAAGGTTTGAAATGTAAACCAGGATAGTGTAGTAATCAGTTTTCTTCCGCACTGCTATTGCTTAAGCAGCAAACACAAAACTGCATTAGATTCAAAGTAAGCAAGAGTATGCTTACAGTTATTTCAACACCTTTTTTTTTTTTACATCAGGTTTTTTGGACACCCATCTGTCAGCAATTAACATTGTCTTAAAACATTGCATGCAGCGTCCATAACTTTGGCATTGTGCTTCGGACTCGTAATTCCAACGTATTGCTGGCTGCATGGATTTTTTTATCATGGTATGGAGCGTTGCAGCTCGACCCAGCCTAAAATGGGTACCAGGATGGATTTCCTGGGGAAGTAAAGACGGCAGGTGTAATGCTGACTACATTACACACCTAGTCCCGATTGGTCTGTAAAAATATGGGCGCTCTTCCCATATGCCTGATTCGCCTAAAGGCTTGAAAAGAGATCTTGCTTTACTAAAAATATTGCATGCTGTGTCAATGTAAGAGGATAAGAATGCATATATAATAATGTAGACAGTATTAATAATGTGTTGTGTTTTTCTTTTTCTTGTCATCAGTCACCTGCATATGAGTATCATTCATGGAATTCCAGAGGTGACCATGCAAATTATTGGTCTTGCCCTAGACTGGGATTGGCTGAATCATACCAACAACCTGCTGCAGACTCCTCTCCACATCGCAGTAATCACACGGCAGCTGCCGGTCATACGGAGACTTATGTGCGCTGGTGCATCTGTGGATGTACGGGATCAGTTAGGCAACACTCCACTCCATAATGCCTGTAGACTGGGATATGAAGATGTTGTACGCACACTTATCAGACCTGTTGAATACAAAGAAACCCTACAAAACAAATATGATATCCCATATCAGAGACTTCCACAAGATCTTGAATCACGAAATTATGAAGGTATGTACTGTTTTTCTCTTTGTTAAAACCTAGTCTTCTTCTTCGGTGATCTCTAATTATACGCTTAATTCACTGGGGACCATGAACTTGGATATCTCAAGGTGCCTTAGGTTGCCCCAAAGCTAAGTTGTCGGGTCTACGGGGTGTGGCCACATGTTGCTTCACAGCTGTTCTATGACAGTTTTGCAAAACTGCAAAACATGTTCTGGGGTCTGTTCAGCATGAAGAAACTGGCAGAGAGCTGTTTGGCTCATGCTTAATTTAATTGAGTGTTTCTTGAGTCTCCAGTATCTAGTACATAAATTGTAAACTTCAACTACAACAACACATTTTTAACATGCTGGGACAAGCTGATACCTACAGAGAACATCAAGTTACTTAGTGTAAGCATGAGATGCTCCATTAAAACTATTTTTTTTCGTTGGACTATATATGTGGGGTCCTGTAAGAGTGGCTCTTAAAATCACTAGGTTCTCGATGTGGGTTCTAAAACCCTTTTTTTTTTTTTGGAGAACAGAGAAGAGACCCACTGCCTCCCTAACAAGTATTTTGTAAGAAATGATTAATTAGGGGTTTCTTCAAAGTCACACTGCCTCTGCATGAGAGTCAAAGATCCAACAGTCTGCATACAAATAAGCTAGATCTGTAAAACAAATGTGCAGAGTTTGGGTTCTGGAACAAGACTGAAGTCCAAAAGTGGACGATTAACTAGAACTTTCAATTGTAGTTTACAGCCAGCAAATATGAAGAATCAGAAGAAGACTTGTTTCAGAATATGAAATTATTAAGTGATTATCAAAATTTCTCATATCTGTGCTATGTAAGCATAAAGTTTTTTTTTTTTTTCTATTTCCAGGTTTGACATGTCTTCATTTAGCTGCCATTGGAGGCCACATCAATGTCATGGAACTACTTCTGGGGGTTGGAGCTAATGTGAATGCAATTGAAGGAAAGAGTGGGAAAACTGTCCTGCATTTTGCTGTAGATTGGGGCAACATGCCCATGATTAAATTCCTGTTATCACAGCCAAACATTGACATTAATGCACTGACTTATGCAGGTCTGCCTCCAATTCTACTAGCGTACGGCAGAGGAAACGTGGATGTCATGGATGAACTGTACAGCAGAGGCGCAATCTGTGAATCTTTATCACTGAGTGAAGAATCAGATGATGAATTCTGTGATGAACGAATGGTAAGCTTCCTTTCTCCCTTTTCGTGTATCTCATTGTAGTACATTACTTCAGAGTTACATCAACATAAAATGAAGCACACAAAAACTGAAAAAATCCAACTGAAATATTGCTAGGCACATTTCGCTGTATACATAGTTTGCAGAGGTTATTACCTCGCTGTCTTTACATATTGAATAAAATGATGCAAATAAAATAATCCTTTCAGCTGAAATACAAAGTCAACCATGTTCAAAGCAATTGCCTGTTTTTCCAGGGCAAATGGAGTTTCAACACAATGTGGTTGATATTGACTTTATTAGCTATGCATATCCAACACAAAGAATGCAAAAACCTAATCTATCAGTCCCTTCAAACTAAACTGTCACTATCTGTTCATTCCACATGCCTCTTCCTTTCACCCGTTCAAAACTGATGCCTGGAAAGTCCACTGGTTTGCAAGTATGCCTCTCTCAAAACAATATTACAAAAACAGTCCAACACTAATAACTGAGTCCATAATAGTACCCACTTAAATATATAAAGCCAAGATTGCACTTCATACATATTATGACTTTAATAGTGCAAATTTGTTGTACCACAAGGTTTTGACAATGAACTTGTGTATCATAACTTCAAGTAAATATTATCTAGCAGAAGGAAAGCTAACTAGATCCACCATAACTTTACTAAAAATTAATATGGCACCAACTACATCCATCATAACTTTTCCACCGCTTCAGCCAAAAAAAATATTGGGGTTGGTTCTGCTGTAAAGGATACAGAACTAAGTAACTTTCCACCGCTTGAGGTGCTGTGGACATATGGTGCTAGCTGCATATCTTTATAGATCACTTGCTAATGGATGGATGATATAGTATCTCAGTGTTCTTTGAGCTAGGTCCGTCTAGGGGCCCAGGAATTAATTTAAAATACAGTAAAGGTTTATTTAAATGTTTCTTTGTTTGCAGTGTAGAATTAGGAATATCTTTAATCAACTGGAAATATTATTTTGCATATTAATTTTGTTTTTCAGGCAGAAGAACCAGTTTGCAACAGACAGTATGCAGTGATGTCGCATTAGCACAGTTTGGGCTGAATGTCAAAAGAACTGGCAATTCCACCCAGCACCTGACAAGATGCTGCAGTTTGGCCTTTCCCATGAGGCAGGACCTGTATTAGTCACAGGAAAGAGCAGCGCCCAAAGGAGTGAACGATTCCTTTATTGATTGCTACGTTGGGAATGCCTTTGTGAAGGAGACAGAATAGTTCAAGCAATGACAAATTTGTTTATGTTTCTTTGTTGTTCAGATATTTTATGTTATTTTATAATTGTTTGTTTTGTTTCTGAAATATTTACAGTTTTCAGATTACCAGAATTTGTTCATTGCTGAGAAGGATTATAATTAGCGCAGTGTAAGAAAATGACTGCAGTGACAGGCGGCAGGCACTGATGAAAATCTTGTCAATAATGTTGTTACAAGAATTACTTGTTGTTATGTTTTTACCAGACTCAGGGATATTGTTTCGGTAATTGTTCTTGCATATTTATTTGTGTGTGTGGTCAAGAGAGTACTAAGAGTTTTGTTTTGTTAATGTGGACCAGATATTGAAAGTAATTCTATGAGAATCCTGTCATTTGACTTTGCTGTCAAGGCTGTAAATGATTAAGAGAAATAAAGGATTCAGATTTATAGCTACGATGTGATGGTTGTGACATTTTAAAAATAGATTTACAAGCTTCTTTGCGTAAATTTAGTACCAGCAATTGCTTCACTTATTTTTCACCCCATTGACAGTCTGATTGCCACTAAAATAAAAATAATTTTAAGTAAGTTATAGCTCTTGAATTTTTTCAGGTCTTGTAAACAAAACAGTCTGCAGTGTAGGCAATACAAATGAGGGACTACCCCTCCCGGACGGGTTTAAATTTGAAATGTGATGTGCCCGCTAGGGATGTCAGCGTCATGACTAGTCTACAGTGTAGGGTTGGCTGTTCACTCCACGACAATATACTACAGTTGAAATTATAAAATGTATATAAATTAGTTCACATATGTCATGATTTGTACTGTCTTGATGTGTTAAAGAAGAGATTTTCCTTGAAATATCACATTTGTTAAGTCTTCTTGTAAAGCAGTTTACCATATAAACTGTTGCAACTGACATGACCTAGTTTAAAATAGTTCTTTAGTGTTGTAAGAAGTTATTTTGTAACCACTCAGCAAGTTTTCAACCTAATTGATAATACTGGATAAGTTATTTGTTAGTTTATGTTAAAATTTTTTTCTGTTGCCAGAGCATCACACCATGTATGATTGAATATTACTGACATATGCCAATCAAGATAGAATATAAAGTGATATGAGATTTTGATGGCAGAAATCACTGGCCAGCAGTGGAAGTCACTTGTGAATGCCTTATGTGTAACCATTGACATAAAGAGAATTTAGAGTTATGAGCCAATCAACATGGTATTACGGGTTACATCTTATGTTTAGCCAGGAACTCTAAATAATCTTCATTTCCTACAGGGATTTTGTTTTTCACTAGAGAAAAAAATGTGCCAGTATTCACTGCACAGTGTCTTAAAGGTAGGGATACTCACAAATAAGTGTCGATTACTGTAGTGCATAAAAATGGGGGGGGGGGGGGGGGGGCTGGTACTGCATACTCAGAAAGACAGCACTAGTTTCCTACAAGGCCTGTGCATTTGTACCCCGTAGAAGTAAAGCACCCATGGGTTTGGTGTTGCCATGTTTGCTTAACATGAACATCAGCTTTACCCTTCTGAGACAGAAAAACACTACAGTGAGGGATATTTGTTAAAGAGGAGGTTAATAAACTTTCTGTAGGACAGTCAATAATCTAGTTTTAGCCATAAGTTATGCACATTTCTATTTTGGTCGAATGACAATATAGCAACTCAGACACAGTAGATTGTTATATGTTTGAAACTTTTGTTTACTAATTACAGTATGCAGTTTTAAATATCTAAATGTGTGTCTTGTATATATATATATATATATAGTCCAGTGCACACAAGAAGTTATTTTCCTAACTCCATGTAAGTAGAATGATAATCGTTTGACCACACTTTTTGTTTCTATCATTCATCTTATGTGAAATAAAAGTATTACGTTTGCTGCTGTTTCAATGATGTACTCTAAAATGTGAGATGGGACCTCTAATTCTGACTAGTGTTTTAAAAAAAACATGAAGTGCCATTTCCTGAGCCTTGGTGGACCTATTGCTTTGAGGTTTGAACAACAGATCAACATCAATGCACATGGGTACAACCCATAAGTGCTTCGTTCTTTCTTCTAACTCAAGTCTGAGTCCGAAGAAGCTAAGCACAGTGCACAGCTTCTGTAGCACCTAAGTTCAAACCTGGAACTGCTTTTAAATTTAAAAAAACCTTCACTGGATAATATGGTCACTTTCACTAGAAATCATTCTGAATGTAAGTAAATTAAACTCAATAGAAGAAGGTGTACATGTTTTGTTAGTAAATTGATGGGAGAGAGCGAGATATGTGCAAAAACATGAATATGTACAATAATTGTTTAATTTATTACTGATATTGCGCACATCATAGTTGACAACATTCTGGTCAACTTGTGTAAATACTGTAGATAGTGACAGAAATATACTAGCTGCAAAAGTAGTGTGAACATCCGGGAGCTAAGCTCTTTGTGTTGTTACACATTATTTGTTTCATTCTTTCTCCATGATTTTGTCTCTAATTTAAAATGCTCCATTAAACATTTCTTATGTAATATTTGATCATATATGGAGTTGGTGTTTTTGTTTTTCAAATTAATCTTTTCTTGTTCACTTATCTCAAGGAGCTGTGAGATTGCCAGGATCTCATTCGGGAGGCCTGGTTGGATTTCTTAATAATGTGGAAATTCTTATGCTGCAGCCGTCTTTCCCCCCCCCCCCCCCCCCCCCCACCCCCCCCCCCACACATTTTTTAATCCTAGCCCATGCTCTTCTTCTTTTTCTCCTTCTTTCAACTGCTGGAATGTCCTGGTTTTTCGTCTGTTTAGACTTTCTGCCAGGGCCTGAGTTTTGCATTTACATTCGTTTTACGGGCTTATTTGTATGTGGTTAATGGTTCCTTGCCGCTCAGGCAGATGCACTCCACTTTGAAGAAGTCCCCAGTTAGTCGACTCCTATGACATGCTTGTTGGGAAGGCAGTGGATCTATTTTTGTTTTCCCCACAATGGGGCACCGGAAATCCTAACACATACAGTTAATGGGAACTACACTCGCTAAATTCTTAGACTTGAGACATCTCCTCCCCCCCCCCCCCCCCTCTCCGTTCTATACTACTGGAAAACAAACACACTTGTCACGTCAAAATCTTTGCAATGTAACAAGTGAAATTGTGTTATATTACACACAAGAATACCATGATGTTCAGCCAATCATTTGACAATTCTTTTGCGTCTGGGTCTTGACTCTTTTTAGATCTTTGGACTTTCCCATCAACTATACTGCTAAAAAAAAAAGGCCACTTGAAACGTTCTGAACTGGGTTGTTTTGTGACACTGCCAGTTGCATTATAATGACAACACAGAGTGTGTATGTAGGCAACTCTTAATCTTTTAGCAACTTCCTGCAGCCATGCTATCGCTCTTCATTTGTCAACTTTGTTACAAGCATACCAATTGGTTCCGAAGCCCTGTTGTAGAGAAAACAAGAATATGCTCACTGCCTGCATACCCAACAAGCATGTCGTAAGAGTAGACTAATTAGGGGTCCCTTCAAAGTCGGAGTGCATTTGCATGAGAGGCAAGGAAACAACAGTCTGCATACAGATAAGTCAGGTCTCTAAAACGGGTGCGCATGCAACACTCAGCCACCTTGTAGACGATACTTATCTAGGTAGCTAGTGAATCAAAGGCGCCGGAATCTAGGGCTCAATTCCGTTGAGCCCGACACCCCTTTCCTCCTCTCCATTCCCATTTCCCTAATAATTATGTAAGGACACTAAGAGGCCCCAGACTCCTTTTGAAAATCTATATAAATTCTCTTTAAGAGTATTTGCTCATA